ATGCACTCCATGCAGAGGGAACCTCAGCTATGGAAAGTCCCCACAAGGGAAGAAGGCACCATCAGTAAGCAGTGCCAGAAGAGGAAAACCAGTTCCAAGTTCCTGCTCAAGCACCCTGGTCAGCAGGATACCTTGGTATTAGAGAATGGTTGGCTCTCTTCTTCCAGGAATTCTTTCAAGATTATTGTGAGCCCTCAAATAAAAGTCACATTTTCAAACAACTTCTCAGTTATGTGGCACGACTAGGAAGTAAAGAAGACACAACAAGCATCAAGCTGAGGCTCCCAAATCAAAGCATGAGAATGTATTTGCTGTCACTGACTAGGTGCACCATGTGATCCCATGGGGAATACAGCCATTGATCCGGGGGCCTTGGGGTCAGAGCCTCTTCCTGTGTGGGCTGCCATCAGTGTTCACCAAGTAGAGGTTCCAAAAAAAGATAAGATGCCCCTGGGGCACCTCCACAGAGAAGCAGCCAGAAAAACATTCTCAGCTGGACTGTAAGGGAAAAGGCTGTCAGAGAGCAGCTGGCAAGAATCGTTATTTTGACTAATTTAGGAAATTTGGGATTCATCCAGGACAGAGCTGGGTGGATCTCATTCCTGAGCATTCCTTGATGAACTATTTTTCATTCTGAATTGCTACTACTATTCCCTCAACAATAGAAGTTTGGAAAAAAAAGAAAGTTGGGGGCAAAGTGTACAGAGAAGTCACATCCCTGAGGTCTCAGTACGCTGGGAGACACAACAGGCGGCAACAAACGTAAGCCCAGAACAGCCTGTCCTGCACTCAAAGCTGAAAAGAGTGGTGGCCCCACCGAACTCAAACCAATGAACCTCTGATTTCAAATACATTTGATCACATTATAAATCTGTTGTTTGCTGTACAAACAGACTTTGATATCCTCACTCTTTCAACAAACACTTCCTGACCCAGGTGCACTATGCTGGCCCTGGGTACACAGACTGTGTGTGTGTGTGTGTGTGTGTGTGGCGCCTCTACCTTCAAGGAGCTCAACTACCTAAGTATAACAGATAAGCAAATCAACAGTTACAGTGATAAGTGCTTTGAGAGAAAGAAATTCAGGGTGTTCTGGGAGCCAGCAGGAAGGTTATCTCCCGGTCAAGGAGGGGAACAAGGGTAGGAAAGGAAGGTGTCCAGATTGCAGAAACTTGAGCTGAGTTACCTAGATGAGGAAGAGGGGAAGGGTCATTGCCAGGAGAGGCCCTGCACTAGCAAAGCCACAAACAGGTGATGGGTATTGTGAGGCTGCAGTGAGATTAGGAATGTGGGTTAGAGAAAACGTGAAACTAGGAAAATGGCCGGAAGTCAGATTATGACAAGACTGCAGGCTCACTGATGCAGGCTTATAGATATTATTCTATAAGCAATGAGGAGCCCTTGGAGAGTTTTAAGAAGATATGATCAGATTTGTGACTTAGCAACGTCATATTGATAGGGATGTATGGGATGGAATGAGGGAAGAAAAAGATGGACACAGGAAGATCAATTAGAGGCTGCAGGAAAAAAAAAACGTCCAAATGATGAGTCCTTCACGTGGCTGTCTCCTTCACTAACTAAAGGGAAACACTGTTTCCCAGAATTACTTGGGAAACAAAGAAGTGGAGAGAGAGAGAAGACAGGGCTAAGATAACAAATTAGCAGACAGTCTCTTCAGGCCATGACAGTTGAGGAGAAAAGCCAAGGATGATTCCTCAAGTAGAGACAGCTGAGGTGGCATGAACCCACCGATCAAGAGTAACACAGAGAGAGAGAGAGAGACACATTCGGCACTGGAGTTTCAGGAGCCTGTGGGGCAGGCAGCTAAGAATGTGGGTGGGGAAGAGGGTCTGGCCAGATATGTAGATTTGGGTATCTTGGTATAGAGGTCAGTAGTGAATAAGCTCACTCAGGGTGACATGAAAGGGACCAAGGCAAATGGTAGAGATAAATCAAATGGTATGGAAATGAGAACTGGCTGTGAGATTGAGGTCCAGGGGTCAGAGGAGAGCAGAAAGCAGCAGGCCAGGCAGAGAGAAAGCAAGCAGCTACCCAAGAAGGGACTGCTCAGCAAAGGAGAGAGGGAGAGGCCTGAGGCAAGAGCCCCACTAAATGAGCAACTAGAAGAGTGCTAGTCACCACTGCCAAGCAGAAAAATTAAAACGAGATGAGGTTCAGCTGACCAATCTGAGGCCACATCAAAGTGCTTTATTATGATTTTTGCCACAAGAGCCTCACAGTTTCACTTCATTTATTGGCGAGGCTTTGCAAGACCACCCTAATTAAAATATCAGGCCCATCACTCTCCAACCCCTTCCCTCATTTTATTTTACCTCAGGGCATTATCGTTGCCTGATACCACGTCACACATCTCTTGTATCTACCTGCCTGTCTCCACTACTAGAATGTATGCCTCAAGAGGACAGATCTTGTCCTATGTCACTTCAAAAACCTCAGTGCCGAGAGCAGTGCCTAGTACACAGAGGTTAAGTATCTTGTTCAAAGTCTCCTGGCAATACTGTGCTAAATGCTGGGGGTATGGTAGAAAACAAGATAAAACAGAGTGCTACTCTCAGCTTGAAGTTGGAGGTGAGTGATAAGAAACAACAAATATTTAAACAAAAAATAAATTACAATTTTCATAGAGTTAGGACTGGAATCTGTCATGCCTTGTGTGACTCCTTTCTACATGTAAGGCTGTCTCTTTCTCCAATAAAAGGAAAATACTGTTTCCCAGCATTAGTTGGGGAAATAGTTAAAGCAAATGTTTGAGATTTGGTCTTAATCTCTTCTAGAGACCTCAACTTCTTCTACTCTTTGAACAGATTCTTAAGAAGTGAAAACACCCACTCTAGGCTCTAAACATTTAATTTGAAGGGCTCAAGCTGTATCTGGCTCCTCTGTATAAGAAGGAAGAGATTGCCCAGGTTTAGGTGGGAGAAAACAGAGAGCAGCATAGCCCAGTGGTTAAGAGTCAGACAGGCCTAGGTTCAAATCCCTCATAATATAAGGCAGGTTGCTAGAGCTCTTTATGATTTGATTCCCTTATTGCTGAAATGTGAATACTAATTCCCATGTGACAGGTTGTTGCAATGACAAAATGAAATGATGTATACAGAGCAGTCAGCACAGCTGGCACACATAGTGAACATTCAATAAACGGTGGCTCTAAACCAGTTACATATGTTGCTTTTATTACAGGATCTCTAGCTGCTGTATCTATATAAACCAAGTCAAAAGTTACTTAGAGTTCAAACCAAAGAACTTACGCTTGAAATATTCAGAGCATCAACTGACATCAACTTAAATGACTTAAGGAACTGTCTCAATTCCCCATACTTGTGCAGATTCTACAGTAAGAAGCTGCATTTCAGTATCCTGCTCTACCCATTTTCTGCAATTTATGCAAATGCAACTATTTCCCCAACAGGTCATATCTTGCCTCATGACAAGAGTCCAAACATGGGCTGGATTCTGTGGTACAAGTTGTAGCAGAGCTATGAACACCACACCTCAAAGGGAGTATAAAAACACAATCACAAGCCCAATGTACATACAAACTTGCACACACAGCTTGGCTCCAACAAAGGAAATGAAAACTGGTCACAGCATGCACTGTCTGGCTCAAAGCTAAAGAAAAGGTTATTTTGATGTGCAAATACCTGTGGTTCTCTTCCACCTTGCTCTACCCCAGAGTATGAGCACTTCCCAAGCCTCAGCCCTCTGTCCATTATGAGGAGAACTTTTTTAATCCTAAGGTTTCCAGGCAACATCTCCAGCTGTCACCTTCTCATCCAGGCTAGAGCACTGAACTTCTAATAGCCTACTGGGCATTTCCTTGTGGATGAATGACTGCCACCTTGAATTCAGTGCCATCTAAAAACAGATGCCTCAATCACTCCTCTCCACTCCCAATATCCACATTTCTGCCAATGATATCACTGAACCATCAAATTTAAACTTTCATCTTCTCAGACTCTTATCAAGATGGGAGTCTAATGTCTAAGACCATCCACATTTCTGCCAATGATATCACTGAACCATCAAATTTAAACTTTCATCTTCTCAGACTCTTATAAAGATGGGAGTCTAATGTCTAAGACCTTAAATCCTTCTGGGTTTCCCTTTTAACATCTCTCCCATCTTTGCTTCCATTTCAGCCACTATTAGCCACATGACCTCATACCTGAATTGGTGCTCTTGCACCATGTCCCTTGTTCAGTTATCAGATGAATGTTTCCAAAACATCACTTCTGACATTTCACTTTCATATCCAAAATAACTTCAATGGCTTCTTATTGCCTGCAGGATAAAGGTCCAAGTGCCTCAACCCAACACAGGTCTAGAAAAGGAGTTAGTAAACTATAGTTCACATGTGAAATCCAGCCAACCACCTGTTTTTGCAAATAAAGTTTTATTGGAACACAACCACGCCCATTCATTATGTACTGTCTATGGCTGCTCTCATGCTCAACAGCACATCAGAGTAGGTGTAAGAGAGACCACATGGCCCACGAAGCTAAAACTATTTACCATCTGGCCCTTTACAGAAAAAGTTTGCTGACCCTGGTCTAGAAGAAGCAGATGTCAAGAGACCATGCCAAAGTTCCTATCCATGACTCCTTTGCATGAAGCTTTTGCTTCCATGAGTCTGCTGCTGAACCTAATACCTTCTTAAGCCCCTGAAATGCTTTATTTTATTCCTCCTTGGACTTTTCCCTCAATCACAGCCAAAGCTCTGCCTCTCCATGAAGCCAGCCCTATCCAACCCCACATTCCCTAGATGTTCCTCCACCAGCCTCCCTTTCTGCATCTACCACAAAAACCTGTAGTGAGCTTCCACTTCTCCTATTTGTCCTCTCGGCCTTTACTCTCAACTAATTTATGGTGCAGGCAGGGTAACCTACACAGAGAATACGCCAAAGATAACTACTTTGTCCTTCATTCTAAATACCAAATTGATAGCATAATTTGGTTAAGAAGGTATCAATCAAACTTACCAAGAAAGGCCTCGGATTCCACATTTGAAAAGTCAGGCTGGGTCCAAAAGCATACACTCTAGTAGTTAGCACCACCTAAAAGTCAATGAAGTAAGAGTTTAGCATTAAAAGAGAATATTTTTACATTTTCTTTAAATTCACAACCCCTAATAAGTTTTGATTTATTGTCCTCCTGGAATGCCCATCTCAGCTTCTCTGCTTAGGAAACCCCTGCTCATCTTTGAAACCCACAGGACAGTCCTTCTCTGGAAGCCTTCCCAATGTCCCAGCAGGCCAGGCATTTCCTCCTCTCAGCTCCCACTGGTGAGGCATTTATGGTAATACATGGTACATCACAGCATGATTTCTCATTTAGGAATGAGACTCTCTAGACTTTAGGTTCTTCAAGAGAAAAGACCTGTTAAATTCAACCTGTCCCTTACTGATTGCCCAGACATTGCTAACATTTAGATGATCCTCAATAAACACTTGTAATACAGGTGGGAAAACAACTAATTCACTAACTCACACCTGAGTATCTAACATTCTGCTAGGCCACAATTTTCACCATAGAAATGCATGCGTCAATGCCATTGCTTTTAACAGGCAATGGCTTAACAGGAAAGATTAATGAGATTTAATCTTCTAGATGCACAGCTTTGGAATGACACTCCCCTGGGCAGAAACCTTCAGAGGCTGCCAGAATCTAAGAAGACAAGTCCAACTCTGCAGCCAAGGTGTCAGGCCTGTATCAACTAGCCCAGCCTGATTCTGCAGGCTCAGCTTGCATTGTTTCCCCCAATGGTCCCTACAGTCCAGGCAAACAGGACTGATAGCTAAGCTAGTCCCCAAACACACACTCCTTCCCTCTAGCTGGATGTCTTCCTTCCTGTTCCTCCACATTACTGAATGCCATCCATCTACTGAAGTGCCATTCATACATAATATCCTATACCAAGTTCATAGTAGGGCTTCAGTAAGTCCATGCGGAGTGATTAAATGAATGAATGAATACATGAATGAATACGTGAATGAACTCTTACCACTAGTCTCGCATGGTATTAACTTTGCATCCTTTTCAGATTTATTTCAATCACTCTTAAATGATCTTTTTTTGTACAATTATATTCTCTTTCAGGGCAGGAACTATGACATATTTGAAAGATTAAGCTTAAGTACAAAAAGCATGCATTTGGCCTATCTTCCACGTTGCTAGACCTACTTACTGGTCAAGTGTTAGGCCTCAGCTTACAGCTTTTGACACCAGTTAATCATTCCCTCTTGCTTGATATATTATCTTCACTGGGCTTCCAAGATAGCAGTCCTTTCTCGGTTTTCTACTGCACTTCACAGACTACTCTGTTTGTTGGTTTCTCCCCATCTCCCACCTCTTAATGTCAAGTGCCCCAGAGCTCCATCCTTTCTTTCATCTCTTCTCATTTAATGACTCTTTGATGACTACCTTGGTGATTTCATCTAGTCTCAGTCTTCAAATATCACCTATATGCTAATGAGGTCCAAATCTCCATGTCTGGACCTCTCCTCTTAACTCCTGACAGTATAACCAACTGCTCACTTCAAGGAAAGATGTCAAGTAGACAGGAGCTCTATGTTAGACATGTTCAACACAGACCCATGGCCTTCCTCCTAAAGTGCTCCTCCCAAAGTCTTATCCATCTCAGTTTACAACTATTCCATTCTTCTAGTTGCCCAGGTCAAAAGTCTAGAGTCATTCTCATCTCCTCTCTGTTTTGTCTCCCTTGATATCCAATCCTCACCAAAACTTGTTTTTACCTTCAAAATATACTCAGAATCTGGGAGACCGGCAAGATGGCGGACTAGGCAGAAGGACTGCACAGACCCTCTTCAACAAAGAAAAGAGAAACCAATTAACACTGACCCAGAAGATAATCCTGGACCCCTGAGCCTTGAAGGGAAGGATATAGAAGTGGACTAAACTCCAACTAGCAGAAGAATTTGCATGAAAATACCAAAAAAAGGAGACATACAGAGCTGCGGCCTGGCAGCGATCCTGACGGCACAGACAGCTTGAATATTCCTGAGTGGTGGGAGGACATAAGAATTAACCAAAAAAAACAGCCCTACTAGACAGGGACTGTACGGAGGACTGTGCACAGTGGCTGGGGAATAAATGGAGAAGGTGAAGAGAAAGGCGGGCTGAGCTGTGGACTTCTGCCAGTCTGGAGGACACCACCATTTTAAAGGTTTAAAAGCAGCTTGACTATTTTGGATATTTAAAGAGACAGTGCTCTCGCAGATTCCTGGGGTTTAAGAACAAGTTCTGCTTTCCAGCAACCCCAAGGACACTCTGGACCCCACAAGACTAAAAAGGTATGACATTCCTCTTGTTACTCTTATACTCCACACCCACTTGGTGAATGGATGTGAGGCCATCCCCCACTCCCACCTACCTTCTGGGCCCACAGAAACTCCATTACAGTCAGTCTGTGTGCTCAGACGGAGCCTGGGTGCCCTGCCCTGTCCTCCACTTCTCTTTTTTTAATTTGTTTTCTTTTTCACTTTTTTTCTCCCCTGGTGATTAGTTTGCTTGTATTTGTCTGTTTTTAAAAAAATTATTATTAATAATACGCTTGTCCTTTTTACTTTATTCTTAATCTTTCCCTCCCAGGTCCTAGTCTTCAGCATTTTCTTTTTTCCCTGTTCCTGGTTGAATTTTTTTTTTTTTTTTTTTAATTTAAGGTTTTTTTTTTTTTTTTTTCCTTTTCCCCTTTTTTCTCATGGTTAACCCTGTTCCTTGTTTTTCTTTTTCCATTTTTCCCATTTATTTTCCTTCATTATTCTCCTTCTCTACTTTTTTTCTCTTAGTGCCCTATCCCCAGATATTGCAGATTTTCTTCTTTTTCTTCTTCTTTTTCCCTTTTTTTGGCTACTATTCCTGTATGATTACACGGTGTGTTTTGTCCATGTGAATTTGGTTTTTTCATGATTATTCAATTGTAATTTGTGTCTAAGTGAGTGGGAGACAACAACAGTCCCCATAAGACACAATTACACCCACACCTCCTGCAACTTCACTTACTGAGTGAGAGCCACTACCTCCTTCTCCACCAACGGGCCAATGATAAAAAACCACCAACAAGAGACTGAATCACCCTTGGCTGCTATACACAAATAGTTAACAGAGATCTAAATACAATAACA